GGCTGTAAAGGAGAAAGGAAGAGGGTTTTCACCCTCTCAGCCTTCGGCAACCATCCAACACGCCCCCCGAGGTCGGCGGACTCCTTAGAGGGTGGTCACATAATCCAAACTCCTTAGAGGGTGGTCACATAGGGGATCATATAGGGGACTATTATGGGGGTTACTAAGGGGGATACTAGGAGTCTAGACAATAGGCGAAAACTTAAGCTTTTAGAGGCGGGTCCTGCAGTCAGCTGAGGATCTGTGGAGTACTGGCACTACGACAGCCTCCACCAGGTCAAGACCCTAAACCCTGAACCCAAAACCCTAAACCCCAGTATTATGACAGCCTTCACCAGGTCAAGAGCCCAAGTCTCGTTCTGGATAGCGAAGTCCTCCACTGCGGAAGCGCAACTCGCCAAGACGCTTCGCCCGCAATCAGGGGTGAGGCAGCTCCGGTTTGGGAATCTTACTTGGGATAATGTATAGGGATAATGGAAAAGAAAATGGAAACTACTATATTATAGGGGTATACAGGGGTATAATATAGGGATAATGGAAAAGAACATGGACTGGTTGTTAGTAGGGAATAAGAGAATATAATTCTTTCATCTCCCAGATTCCCTACTCACCATCAGTACGGAATGGCGACTCTTTGCAAGTCGCGGGGCCCACTGCTGCTTCAGGTTGCTGATGGCATCCGAAGTCGAAGAGAAAGATGGAGAACAAAACTATGCTGTCCCGCATGCACCCAGAAGTTCTCAAAGCATGACTTGTAGTTGTAGTAATCACCCCCCCCGGTAGCAGGACCCGCAACCGCTCGTAGCACATATTCACTACATTAGGGTATGTATGATGAAGGGGGTATGTGGGGAGGGGGGTCATCATAAACGGTATCGCCGCGCCCGCCTCGGCTGGTGGGGCGCGGAGCACACGAATCGGTCATGGCATGTAGTTGAAACGTGGGGGTTAGGGTCGAGGGAGTAACGGAGGCAAGCCTCACTTCAGACGTGTTTGTTGCATGCCTGTTCGAGCATTCGTGGAGGGGATTGGCTGGGATTAGTCCATCAGCCTTCAGTGAGAAGCTTTGAGAGCCGCTGCGTTCCAGGGTTGGAAGCTGTAAGTCCTTAAGTGCAATTCGCCGCTAGGCCCGGCATCCAAATTCAGAAAAGAAGCCGCTCCAGAGCCAGACCTGGGGGGGAGGGGGGAGGGGAGGGAGGGGGGGGGCGGGAAGGGGGATTGTGGCGACAAAAGAGGTTTTGGACCAACAATGTTCGCTGCTGCGTACTGGATCGAGGATGGACTTTCACTCGGGATGGTCAGGCTGGGCTAGGCCACCCACCATGGGAGGGGGGCGGGATAGCCTCGCCTTTTCCATGTCTGTTTGGTTCCCCATTAATCTTCCATTAATGGCATAATATCTCCCCTAAGCCTTAAACCCCAAACCCAAACCCTAGACCCTTCTCTTTTCTGTAAGCTTAGAACCCAAGGGCCAGCAATGGTCCAGCACATGCACCGTGCAGCTTTGCTCGGGGCGAGTTGCGAGCTCAGATGGGCGTCGCGCTGGTGTTCACTTCAGACGTGCTCTTCCACACATACATTACATACATACATACATACATACCTACATACCTACATACCTACATACCTACATACCTACATACCTACATACCTACATACCTACATACCTACATACCTACATACCGACATACCTACATACCTACA